TGTTTTTTTTGAAGCTGCAGTAATGGGATGTAATATGATTTTGTAATATGTTCTGGAAGTTAATCTAAACTGAGACCTAAGTCCTCTCAATCTCCCTATTGTGGTTACCCTCGGGTTAAACCTCACACACCTATAAACACACACACACACACACACACACAAACACTCAACCCACTTTCTCTCTCCCAGCCCACAGATTGCACTATCCATCATCTGCCCATGACAATCTCTCCTCACCAGCACACATTTCTGTACCTCGCTTTCTGTCACTTTACTGCTGCCATCCATCTCCTCTCGCCCCTCTCTGCTCCGTCAGGTGAGCAGGCTCATCGCTTACACATGCAGTAGCAACTTTGATTCCCCCTCTTTGAAAAGAGACAGTGATTCTTGCCAAATTAACAAACACACGGATGTAGATTTCAACCTTTTCTTCTGTCCATTTTTAATATTCGTGAAACATTATTTCATCTCTTCTTGCCATCTTTTTAACCCTCGAGCTCTCAAGCTGTATTCCCCTTTGCTTTCTTCCCATCACTGTCTTTCTTATCCCTCATCTCCAAAACAAGATATACTTGTGTAACAAAAGTGCTGCACAGATTGATGCACAAATCAGTAGCCTATTTGCGGAAAGTGTTAGGAAAGCTTCTGATTTTTTCACCTTGATATATGAAAGCCGTGGCAGAGGTAATGGAGTTAATAGCAGAGTCATCAAGTACATGCTTTACCTTTCCTCTCTACAGTAGCTTACTAGTCAAATAACACAAAGAGCCTACAGCCATGCTAGCAGCTCTGTGAGGCTGTACTGAGGAACAGCGGTGCTGTGAGCTAAATGCAAGCCAACATGCTCACAATGACAATGCTAACATGCTGATTTTTAGCAGCAGTTATGTTTATCATCCTAGATTAGCCTGTTAGCACCCTAAACACAAAGTACAGCTGTGACTGATGAGAATGTCAATAGATTGTAGGTACACAAAGCAAAGTATTGAAATGTTGACATAATGATAGTGCTGGATGAAAATGCCAGGGATGATCAAAGTTAAAAGGATACATCATCTGGGGACCATGAATATCCCTAAAAAAAATCTAGTAAATGTTGAGCTCCTCTACTGGGTAATCAAGAATGTTGACCTGCTGGCAATGTATGAAAAGTCAAAGGATCTTCAAAGTCATTAGGATTCATTGTACCAAATCTGACAGTTCTCGAGACTCATGATAGCACTGGAGAAAAAATTTCAGAGGATCACCAAAGTCGTTAGGGATCATTTTCAGAAGACCATGAATGTATGTACACACTTTCATGGCAATCCATCTACTAAATCCTGAAATATTTCAGTCTGGACCAGAGTGGTGGACTGACTGCTACGTGGCTAAAGAAGTGCACCCCATCCAAACAGATGGACTTACCTACCTTGTTGGATAGGGAAAATTGCTTTAAACCAAAATAAGGTTTGGTGTTTGTAGTGAGGGTATTACGATGTTTGTAACAGCAGGAAGATCTAAAAGCCAGAAAAACAACATCAATGCTAAAAGCGTAGCAATCGTTCCACCAGTAGGACATAACTTTTCAGCACAAGAGACAGCCATGTCATTAAAACATTTGACATGTGACATTTCTCAACACTTAATAGTAAGATGTCTTCATATTGTGTATTGTAACAGACAGTGTTAATTAAAAAAGGTAATGAAGTACTTGATAATGAAGCTGTGTGCAACTGTCCTCTCTAACAGTCATGAGACTTAATTAAGCGGTCAAATGTAGCAAATGAAATCATAATGCACTATCAAAGTTCATCACCAATGGGACGCATCATCCATTAATGCGGGTTCGACCCTCTAAATCATCATCCTTAAATGAAACAGTGCATTTGAAGATACAAGAGTTCAGTGCTATTAAGATCCCCTTGAGTCTGTATCAAAGTTTAATATTGTCTCAATGAAAGCCTTTCTGAGCTTTAAGAGTCTTAATACCATCTTAAGCTTTACTACCCCCCACTATACACACATTGTCCTAGAATTTCCTCAAAGTCTCCAAAAGTAGGCCACGCGTCACGGTTTTGTTTCATGTTTGCCTTTACATGTACAGATTAAATATCTGGCCTGCCCAAGAGGTACAATCACAATAAATCATGACAATTTTTCACTTCTTCTTCAGCCCCGTCACCCAAGTTCTTCCTTTAACGGTATTTTTATCAGCTGGTTTGCACGCATTTTCTCACTGTCAGATGGACCGATTAAGTCTCAGATAAAAGGACTGATAGTATGCCACAGCAAAATGTGTTCGGGACTGTACAAGTTTGATAATGCTGAAATAGAGTAGAGCAGGATTCGATCACTGTGGAAAGTTCCTGTGATCCACCAAAACAAAAAGACCATTTCTAGCTGCTCTGTGAGACTTTGGCACAGGTGGGTTTTGAGCTAAATGCTATTGTTAACATGCCAACATGCTCACTTTAACCAGGCATCCACCCAAATGTAGCACATGTTGTTTTTTAAAGTGAAAAGAATATATTTGTGTTTCCATCCACTTATTGGTTCATCAGAGTAAGCAGAAGGTGGCTCTAACTCTCGAGCCAGGGACAATTATATAATTTAGAAGAAGAGGGTTTAGAAGTCCCAAATGGTGGGGACATTTCTTTTGAAAACAAGATGTAAATATGTTATTCATGTTTGTTTCATGTATTCATTTGACGAAGGTTACCAAAAGTGGCAAATATTTTGTCTTTTGTTACAATGATCACAAGGTAAACAATAAAAATACGCCGTTCATGTACAAAGTAATCCATCGCGAATGTGAGCTCGAATCTATGTGATTGGCAAACGCAGCCCCTTGGCTAAAAATGTATACAGAAAAAGCTTTTTAAATCTTAATCAGTGGGACAACTGCTTATTAGTAATATTAAATTACACTTGAAATATAAAATGACAACTTGGTTTTATTGTTCATTAATAAGGAATGACTTTCTCAACTAAATCCGTATTTGAGAAAAAGGATGGAGTGTTCCCCCTGCTGTTGTAACCGTTGTAGACTCAAAAATATCGATCTGCTTTGCAATCAATCAAATGGTGAGTGCTCGTCAGGGTCAGAGGAGACACTAATATCTCGGGCAGATGTGGATTTATGGCCGCATATGTCTTTCTTTTCCTCCCATTTTCACTGCCTTTCCTCATCCCTTTTCCACATATAGCACAGTGCTATCCCACCGTGTGATAGCAGACACATCACTGCACTCCTTTTATAGAATGAAAAACATGAATCGCTTCTTTCATTCATCCTTGTGTCTCCTTTTCCCGCTGTCATTCCTTTGCATTCTTCCGCCCCCTCTGCTCTCGTCACTGTTTTGGATTCCTGCTGTCCATTCATGCATCCATTCATCCTTCCTCTTTCCGTCATCCTTTTCTTCTTTCTTTCTGGCTTGTGTGAGAAGCTCCATCATCCCGTCCTCTCTCCATTCATTCATCCCTCCCTCCTTCTCTCGTGCTCATCTACAGTACATCCACACACATTCCCTCAGTCTCGTCAGAACTGCCTCGAATTATTTACTGCTTAATGGCCTACATCAGCTCACAGCGGTGCTTTGCTTTATTTATTGATTTTCATTCCTTTTGTCTTCTGTTCTGTGTGTGTGTGTGCGTGTGTGTGTGTGTGTGTGCGTGTGTGTGTGTGTGTGTGCGGGCAGGAGAAGCACATCTTAAAAGATATAAAGCTCAAGGACGTCCTGCACATTCAGGGCTGCTGAAATGACCTGTGGGTTGAATGATCGATTGATCTGATGTTTGAAGGCTAATCGACCGTTACTCTCTGCTACCAATGCTTCTGTCTGTTTATATGATGTGTTCATGTGCCCATATGTCCAATAGTATGTGTGTGTGTGTGTGTGTGTGTGCACCACAGTGACCACCACTCATGATCTTCTTTCACTGACTAGTGATTCATTATCTCCATGTGCATTCCATGTCGGATGTGCTACCATCCAACACAACCAGTACTTTTTTCAGCCTTGGTGCCAAACCTTTTCTGGCTTGTGACCTCTTCATAAAAGAAAGCAGAGTTTACTGTACTGTCTCAACCCAGGTTGCATGGATGTGAGCAGTCCAATTAAATATTGATTCTCAGGCCTCTTAAATATGTAATGAGTCTGAGGAGGTAAAACTATTTCACAAGACACAAAGGGATATACGTAAAAAAAAAAATAGAAGTATTTTATTTCATGGAAATGTTTTTTTTCCTTTCTTTCCATCACATTAATAATCTCACAACAACTTATTGTGTGACTGCTTGGTGAGGTCCACAACACCAGATTACAACCAGTGATACTCTTCTGAAATAGTATCCTGTAGACTCTACTTCAACAAAAATATATTTTTTATTGACGTCAAATCGTAGATCGTCACCAGTTAAGGATATCAAGTCTATGCAACTTTTGCAACCATATTGCAGTAGAAAGTAAATCCCTGATTGAATAAAAAACCTCTCATAGGAGTGCTGCAAGGAAATTCTGCTCTACAGATGCAAGGAGCTGCCCTTTATGGTCCGTCAGTCTCCTGCACTCTTTTGAATACTGATCATATTTGCTTGAAAAAAAAATAAAAAATCATTCACCAGTAGAAGAAAAAAAAAAAAAAGCATCACTGTCTAAAGCTATTGTTCTCATGCTTTTTGAAGTGATGCTCACCAGAGCACTGCAGCGTCTCAACCTCACTGCTCCCTCTGTCCGTGGCTGTGGATGAGAACCATTTCGACGAGAGAGAGAGAGAGGGGGGGGGACCTCTTTGCCAAAATGACCGTTTACATAAAGATACCCATAATGATCCAAAACTGGATGAGATGAAAGGCAGAGGTTCCAAATGCCTGGATGACACCAAGTGTCCCTTGCTCAGTACCTGCACCCCCCCTCCCTCCCCTCTGTGATGATGATGATGGTGATATCACCACCCCTACCATATTTCCATTGCATTTTCAGATCAATGAGAGAGGCAGAGGACCGTGTATTGTCAGCCACAGGCTGACAACTGTGCCGCTACCCCACGTACGTGCTCATATCCGGATAGAGAGAGAGAGAGAGAGAGAGAGAGAGAGAGAGAGAGAGAGAGATTTTTTCTGCATCCTTTGCTCTGCAGACGCGTGCGTGACATGCCGTCTGCTCCCGGATTTCCCTTCAACTTTTTTTGCGGTTTTCACACTGTTTTCATTGCCGCATTCCCTCCGTGCGCCGAGTCTTTGGAATGAACTGTTTTCCTGTCTGCGTCGTTTCCATGCCAGCATGGGAACTGCCGTGTCCAAAAGGAAGAATTTAAGAAACGATGCGATATCCTCTGTGGCAGCAAAAGTTAGGTGAGTATCACCCGGAGCTCTCCGCCTTTCAGCCCCATTAAATGGCAGCCGCAGGTTAGACTCGACAGCCTTCGGGTGCGACCCGAGCGAAGTTGCCATGTGTGACAGTTGAATTACCGCTGCGCTTTCCTGGGTACAGCTAGTCCCTTATTTGTAATGCGCAAAGAGGCTCAGAGCTTCTCGCACGTCTGCCGACTGTCCCGTCTGGCCCGGGGCGTGCATCCGTGTAAATGTGTGCGTAAATTAGCCTTTGTTCTCTCCAAAAACAGCACCCGTGATGAGCAATAGAAACCGATTATGGAGAAGGTTTGTCCCTCAATTCCACGAGGCTGTGTTTTATTCGGACTAAATTGGCTAACCCATCTCCTCGTGAAGCATCGGAGCTTTTCCTGATGTTGTGAATGAAGCATCATTGTGTAATGAAAGTCATGCAGAGGCAAAGCGAGGGCTGCTGTGACTCAGTCGACTAACATTTTCTGACTTTGGTAGGCTATCAGCTAAAATAGATCATCGTGATGATCAATCATTTGTTGTAGGCCTATATGTATTTATTTTTTTAACTGCATGTCATCTTGTGTTTTTAATGGGGATTTAAACAAAAATGGCTTTCTGTCTGGCCGCATCGACCCGAGCAGCGAGGAGCCTGCATGCTGACTTCACACTCCGGCGTGCAAATGAATCAATCACCGCAATCGATTCGGTCGCTTGCAGTGATCACCTATCACGATCAGTTATTGGGCCGGTCACAGGGGGCAGCGCCGGTAAGCGGTTGTTTAATTTATTCAGCCAGCAGTGGGATTCAGACTGTTTGGCACGAGTCCAACCCGTTAAAAGCTGTTAACGACTCATTCGTTCACTGTATGGGGCTGTGTGGATTATTTTTTAATGGCCAAGTCCGCATCCTGTTCTAGCACCATACAGGCAAATAAATAGCTTATAGCTCTATCATGCTTGACTGAGGTTGAGAGCTGAAGCTGCAGTTTGCAGAAAAGCACGTGCAACTGTGTTCATGTGTCCACACTATGAAGTGCGGACGAGGAGCTGCGATCTCTCGCGTGAGACCAGAATACAAAATGAGCTCTTCTGTGCTTCAGCAGTGGCCTCACAGCAGGCCCTGCTTTGACATATTTTTTTTTTTTTAATCAATCAATGATTGACCTTGACTTGTGCAACGTCGTCCAACGTCCACAGATGAGGGCTGACGTGATATTACGTCATTATCTCATATGAGTATGCGTCTACCTTACATTGCACATGTGGTGTGTATGTGAGCCTTCTTTGCATTCATCTCAGCGTGCGGGAGTATGCGTTTCTTTTTTTTAATGTGAGCCACCTTGAGATGAGAATGTGATGCTCATACACTGGCAAGTGGAGGGTGTCCCGGGCACGTAGCCTACTGTAAGTGTGTGTGTGTGTGTGTGTGTGTGTGTGTGTGTGAGGGAGGAAGAGAGAGAAAGTGAGAGAGTCAATCTCAAAGCCGAGACTTTTTTCTTCACGTCTTCAATGAAATTTCTGAAATACACTATCATTATTGAGGATTATTACTGCCTACACACACACGCACACACGCGCGCGCGCACACACACACACACACACACACACACACACACACACACACACACACACACACACACACACACTTTAATTTGTTGAGTTAATGGCAGAATGAACCTTGCCTTTCCGTATGGGAGATGCAGCTGAATCACATCCAATAATAATCAGCCTTTCACCTGCACACAACCTCATGAATGTGGACGCAGGCATTCAAAAGTTGTTTCTCTGCATCTCTCCACCTCGCACACAAACATATCTATGTGCATACTGTCAGGCCTGTACACTGCTCTCTCCATTTCCCCTACATCTACTCGATCCCTTCTTCATTCTGTCTGAAGGGCAGGTTGGACTCTGAATCTTTGAATCTCTGCAGATTTAAAGTGCTAGAGCTCTGTCTGCAGCATCAGATCTACGGACTTATTACCCCTACACCCATTTACATATAAAAGGTACATTTATATTAAAAGGAATTTACCTCAGAAACACAATTTCATTTACAATTTCATTTTCAAGCTCATAGCCGAGTTCTGACTCATCAATTTCTTATCTGCAGCTAGTGTCCAGTTGGCGACATGATACAGTGTCACCTCAGCTCTCAAATCATTTTAGAGGACATACCATAATATAAATCACTGCCGTTCAAGTAGCTAGACCCAGGTGCACACACACACACACAGCCTCTCTTATCCTCCGTCTTTCCTTTCTCTGTAATACATTTTCTGTACGTTTTCCGGACTGGCCAACTTTTGTGGTTGGGCAAATAAAGACCTCTCCCAAAGCAAACAATAGACCACATTTGTTCACTCAATCACGTTTGTTAAATGTTCATATATATATATTTACATATTTACAATTATTTTACATGAACATAATCTTTCTCCTCTGTTCTATCAGGGGATCACCAAAGTCAATATGATTTATCCTTTGGCGACCATGAATATCTTTACCAAATTTCCTGGCAATACAGTTATCAAGACATGCCACTAAAAAACGAAAATGTCAACCTGCTGGTGGTGGTGAAGGGAAAGTGAGGAGATCACCAAAGTCAGTAGGATTCACCCTCTGGGGACCACTCGTGTCTGTACCACATCTGATGGTAATCAAACAGTGCAAACCCTTGAGCCATGCTGCTGGCATTACTTGAGGAATTACTAATTCCTAAGGATAGGTGTGCCAGATCAGAAAACGCTCGTAAGAGACATTTTGTAAAGCTCTGACAGATGACCCATTCGGTCATTGAGGTATGAGGCCGTGTTAGCGGACATCAACTCAACAGTGGATGACCACATTCATGGGAATGCATACAAACAATACACAGGAAACACTAAAGAGACACTAGCTTCTTGTCCCTGCTGTCTGTGCCCCTGTCACCATTTGCATGTTTGTGGATTGCTGGTTATGAAACAGGTCACACTTTCCCCTCCAGCAGCTCATGAGAAGTAGCGAGCGACAGAGCGAGGAAGGGGGAAGAGAGGGGATGAGATTAATTCCAATTTACACACCAGAAGTCTGCGACATTGAGTGAAAAAGTGAATGCTTTGATCTTAATAGCGGCCAGAGAGGAGGGGCTGTGCTGTGGTTGGGGTAAAGGGCGTCGGACAACAGCGCTCACAGAGCTGTGGGGGTGTGAAAGATGGTGTGGAAGATGAAAGGATTGTTTTTTTAGGACGGATGTAAATGAAACATCGTGTCTTAGTTTATTCAGGCCAATCGACAGGTGCGACCGTCATCGTTGCAGACCTGCAGTCACTCTGTTCATGAGGGTCGAGGGCTGTTACGCAATCGGTTTTTTGAAATAACAGGATTTCAGATTCACTCAAGCTCAACAAAGGGAGACCGTGTTTCCTCAGAAGTTCTGACTATCTCGTCATTCTTTGCTAAAATCTTGCTTCATTTTATTATTTCCATTTTGCTCATGTATAATAATATAATATAATATTAATATATACACACTGTGTATTTCTGATTTTTAGTAGCATGGCTCAGTGCATCCACATTACATCTCCCCCCCTTCTGTTCAATCACAGAGTCTTTGCCATAAATATGCTGAACGAGGCAGATTGTATTGATTAGTCTGAAGAATGATTAGGGCTCCAGCAGTGCTGTGTGATTGTCTGTCTGCAATGGCGCATATTTATTCTTTTTCACATTTATTCTTTGACAAAAAAATAATTAATGAATAAAAACAAATCTCAGCCCACTTTTTCTACAGTTCAGTGACAACTAAGCAAGTTTAATTTGCCAATGAATACCTTGTGATATGGTTGAAGGCGTCAGAACAAGCGAGTAAAGAACAATATTTATGTATTTTGACATTTTTATTCAAGTTTACGTTGTTTTTTTTTTGTTTTTTTTCCACAAAATATGCTTTACTTAATATCATTGTTTTACTTTTTACTTTCCTAGAATATTATAAAAAAATATGTTATGTTAAATGTGTGTAGGCTATTGTGTGTGTGAATCAGTTGCAGCACCCAGCACTGTATGTGGTAGCGTTGGGCCACTAACGTACTGACATTTTAATTAGCTCCCAGATCAGGGGCTCCGTTTCCACATATGTCCCATGATGCACCACACTTTAAAGACTCGCAATTAACGTTCCCAAGTCCCTTCGGCCCTCAGCACACGCAGGCAGCAAGCCTCTCAACAGGTTGTCATCACCCCAGCTGTGCGTTTGTGTATGCTCCACTGTGTGTGTGTTTGTAGGAAACCCAATTCAATTAGAGCATCTGAGAGGCGAATTCGATTAAGGAGCATTAAGAGTGAGGAATCTCTTGGCCTGGCAGCCCATTGTTTACAGTGGAGAGACGCCCGGGGAGACATCAGCTCTGATGATATTCAGACCAGTGGGAACAATGCCAGGGGAGTGATGGCCTGTTTGCAGCCTCCAGCCGCTTGTCCTCTAAAGATATATGGTCATAGCGTTAAACAGCATGAGAATCGACAGGGAATGAGATTAGATATGGGTCAATAACAGAAGGACATACTGTATGTAGCAGCAGCGTTAAACTACACGACTCTCAATAAGTACCTGTATGTCAGTTCTATGATCATATTGACCTGTTCGTAGCCATGCAGATCATTTATTGGTTAAATTATTTTGCTTAATGTGGATGGGCATTTTACACCAGTCAGAACAAACTCAACCAGGAACTATGTTAGGTTGATAAGCACTAGAAACGTAGTTTTGAAAGCAGCCTAAAAAAAAAGGAAGAAGAAGAAGAGGAGAAAGTAAGACTGGAATAAGTAATGAGTAATGTTTCACCATCTGTGTCTGCATTAGTGAGCACAAACTTGGAGAGACTGGAGATATAAGGTATGTTTACAGTTCTATAATGTTCCCATCTGCCAAGTATCTAGTTATGCATATTGTTCTGTCTAGAACTGTGAAGAGGTTAGTGAAGTTTGTGGCATAAAAGTGTTTGAGGAGGAGTGGAGTGTGTGCAATTGTGTCTGACTCATACAGCTTGTAAATGCTAAGTACGTTCTTAACTGTAGACCCAGAGGGGCAAAATATGCTCATACTGTATTCATTCGCTTAGTCAGCGAAGCTTCAGGTTGCATGTTGCACCCACAGTAGTTTGTATAACAAAATTAGAGTTACTCTTGGAGAGTAGCTCTGTCCAAGACATTGTACCATTAGCATCCTTGTTGCATGACATTGTAGTTGGAGCCTGTCCTCCCAAGAAAAACAAGACCATCTGTCATTTCAGCAAATTACCAAAAGCGGCATATGTCTACGTTAAAGTGGCAAAGCTATAAAAGCAATGATAAAACTATTAACTAATTTAACCCAAGAAAGCAATGTTTGTTCCTTGTTTTCTCGACCTTAACCGTGTACCAAACAAAGATGCTTTTGTACTTATTTTAACCAAAACCAACAGTTGTTTATGTGCCTAAACCTAACCAAATCTTAACCACTGTGTTGTCACGTGACAGGTACGAGCATCAGATGAGAAAATGCTTACATGTGTCATTGTGGAGGGCGATAACAAACAAGGTATTTTGTCATTGCTTTTGGGGACCTAATGGGTAGGTGAGAACTGTTTCCAAAAGCCCTGGTTGTGGTGTCAAGGACGCTGCGACAGCTGAGTTGGCAGCTGAAAACATGGCATTCATTCACCAGTGATGCTGTCAGGGTATCTAACCTTCATTCATGTGAGACAAACAACAAAGCAAACATGGCCGAAATGGATCATGTGAATTTCTTGCATTACTGTAGAAACTAGAACAGGCTGTGCAAATTAAGAGGAAATACAGAGAATTGTGGTCAAGTCCCTGTTATAAAAAAAATATTACAAGACTTGGCAGAGTATGGGTGTAAAAAAAAAATCACTCTTTGGTTGCCAACTCCCATTTCCCATAAGATCATAAACTTGCCAACCTGGAACGGTTTCTAAAACATTACAGCAATTATCCTTCTTTAAGTCTCTTCAAGTTAATGTTCATACCATAGTGAAATACGTGGAAACAGATTTCTACTTTACTTTTAAGTTTAAAGATTTAACTCACAGAGCCAACTCTCATCCATCACTGTCAGAATATCTAATCTGATCTGAATCCAGGACACTCAACTTGAACCTGTGCCATCCTTGTCACTGCTGTTTGACATGTTTCATCTCGCACTCAATGAGTTTGCAGAAGTCCCTTAAGGGGTTAAATGAAAGAGGCTTTTAGGGTTGAGTTAATTGTCAAAGATGCAGCTGTCCTGAGGAGGAAACAGACTCGTCAGTTGCTTCTCTTTCTTCCTCATTGTCCTGACTGTGCTCTCTCTCTCTGTCTGCCGCGGTTTCCTCAAGTTTACTCCACCTTTCATTTTTAATATGCCCCCATTTTGCTGTACACTCCTCTTCCTCTCTGCTGTAATCCCATCTCTCCTCCTCAGAAACTCCCCTCCCCAACTCGTTTCTCTCCCCAAACCCCTGTCACATGTCTGAGAGCATGCAGGATGAATTTCATATCTGCCTGTCAGGCTCTTCCTCTTCTTCTCCGTCTCCAACTTCTCCACCTTCATTTTTCACATGTGCACATGTGTTTATCTCCCCTGCTGCCTCATGCACCTGTGTCCCTGACGTGCCGTGCTCACATATTGTATATGGAGTAGGTGCAAAACAGTGATATGGGACAACATAGAGAGAGGGTTTGTTTAATGGAGGGATTGAGCGGTGCTTTGCTCTATCCGTTTCCGACTCAGTTTCCTCTCATGTATAATGGATGATGAGAGTCTCTTGCACCATTGTTTGCTGATTCTAATCAGAGGGCCCGGCCTGTTGAATAATAAAACAGGAGGACAAAATGAAAATGTCTCAGAGCTTCGGAGGAACACCTGCTGATTTGAGCTTCGACTACATTTATTACGACTGTTCTTAACTGGACTGGTTTCTTGTTACATTTCTGCATGCAGAGACACACACACACACACGCACGCACACATATTCTTAAATCAATGTGTGTTTAATCAAATCACACCAGACTAACTGGCCCATAGAAAAGCTGCTGTTAGGTATTACAGCATAATATTAGCCTACTGGTTGGTTTCTGGGACTGCAGGTAAACTACAGTATGAAGCGGCTGTGTGTCACATACAGTATCTTACCCAATGCTGTGATAAAGAACATCTGGTTCTTTTGTCTTTCTAATGGAGGTCCACACTAGCCTTTAGCTCTCACACAAAGTCTCCACTACAACTTACATAGGGATAATGAAGGAGGCGATAGTGTCAAATCTTGCGTAATGCTCTGTAATTACTGATATGTATTCACAAAGGATTAACATCGGTGGAGAACAAGAGTTCCCCAAAATAGGTGACAGTGACAATTTCTACTTCCTTGTCAGTAACAATAAATAATGTGGCAAAATGATGATGGGGGTTATTAACTTGAATAATAAAGTCATAGTTCCATTTATAGGACATCCTATACCTGTGCTGTTGGTAAAAGGTAGTATAGGTAAAATTGAATCTGTCTCGACTGGGCTCAGTTTAAACAAGAAACTCCGTGTAAGAGAGAAGGAAAGAGAAATGTTTGTAAAAAGTCTGCACTCACTGCGTGTGTGTGCCTGCTGTGCTGGACAGGCTTTAATAATTGACAGAGCTGCCAGGAAGGAGGCGTTTACCCACAGATTCACCTGTATTCAGGGGATTCTTTTTCACCGTCACCTCCAACTTCAGCTGCATTGGGAAAGAGGCCACTTTCCCGAGTGTGCTCGAGGATGTAAACAGGCGATATTATAACTGCAGCTGTGGACACACCAGGTTATTTTTTAGGATCGCATCGATATAAACTTGAAGATGAGCACTGCTTTTCACACCAGGTTATTCGTTTTACTGAAGTAGGTAGTCTTGGAGGCACGACGTTTTATATGCTGTTGGGTAATTTAAACTATAGCACGAGTTGAATAAAAGGTTAAAAGCTGCAGCATTTCCTCTGAGAAGTGGAGTGAAAACATTCCGTCACACATGATCATGATCCTTGCAACAGGAGTAACTTATTATTAATAGCATACAGTATTAAGAGTTACTCGCATGTTTCTCCTTTCCTAACTCCACTCATTCCTAATTATTGTCATGTCGTTATTCCTAATAGTTATTGCTGCGGCTCATTCCCTCTCAGTTCCAGATTGACATTGAAAGCACATCTTTAGAGGGATTCGTCTTCTCTTTGTCTGCCCAGTGTCTCTTTGCTCATTTTCCTCTGCTGTCACACACAGGAACATTACGAGGTCAGTGTTGCGAGACCTGGGGCTATTCTATTAAAAGCCGAAGCCCTCCATGATATTGAGTTTTAGTTACAAGTGGCTGAATGGACGTCTGTAGCGTATTTATCTCCATTTCTGTGTGTGAGTAAAAGAAAGACCATGAGGAAAAAATGAGCTAAAGCACCAGATGCAATACTGTGGTCAAGGAGCTCACAGCATCTATTTTCAGCAAAGACATTTTTCTGCAGTTGTTGACAAGGTTAAGTATTTTCCTTGACACAAAGATACAGTTTACATCCGCACATACATTCTGCGTGTGTATGAAAGAAGGACACAAACACACTAATGGTCTGCAGCTGCGATTACACCCACTAACGAAAACTGAGGTCATGCTGAGAAATGAAGATGAACAATCCTTCACTCTACAGTATCTCCACCGACTGTCTCATACGCCGTTTCTCTTTCAGTCCGAGGCTGCCTGAAATGTGGAGATAAAACCGCTGCATCATTAATCTGCGGGTGGCACAAACCGACAAAGAAGGCAATTAGGTTTATAATTTACAATTCTCTTGCCCTTCTCTCTTCCATTTCCTGTCCTTTCAACTCACCCATACTTTCCACCCATGAATAATGTCTTTATGTGTGTCATGTGTCCCCACAGAGCAGCGCGAGCATTTGGAGAGTACCTGTCCCACACACACCCTGAAAACCGAAACGGATCAGGTCAGCGTCTTAGACATCCTGCCATTTGTCCATCCCTCTATCCTGCTCTGCCTATTCCTTTGTGGTCTTTAATCCTTCCTCCACCTGCTTCACCTCATCCTCTGTGAATATGCCAGGCTGCGATCATTAGTGTTTGGATCACTACAATAGCTGGTAACCGAAGAAATATGATGATATTTTCCTGTGTGTCATCCTCAGCTTGTGCTCTTATTTTTCCTCTCTCTCTCTTCTCCTTGCTCCTTTCTCATTCTCAAGCACTCATATTTGTCTATTTGTCCATCATTCTAGCTCATCTTCTGTGTGAAACCTTGGTGGGTCCCGACCCGGAGTCGCCAAGTGACACGATTAGCCCCAACAACAACAACAGCCTCCATCCCTGCTCCAACGCCACCAAGAGCTGTGAGGACAAACGGGAGGCCAGCCTGATAAAACCCCCACTGGGCTTACTCCAGCCTCCTCCCCCTTCCATCACCATCTCTGCCAAAGCATCGCGACTGTCCCTCGAGCGCAGCTTCTCAGCGGAGGAAGACCAGCAGAAGTGCGTCGAGTGCACCCTGCAGCCTGCTCGCGTGTACACCATCACAACCCAGCGCGGTATGCTGATGAGCAGCGGCCGGGGCAGCAAGGAGAGCCTAGAACTGGACGTCCTGAAGGAGAAGTCGGGGAGTGGCGGGGTGGGATCCAGAGGAGGCTTGATCCAACCCTCCACTTCCCCTTCCTCCACCTCATCGTCTCCAACTCAGCACCACCATGCCAGCAGCGGCCGTGGCGCCAGCCACCATCACAGAAACCATCACGACACTCACCACGGAAACCACCACCACCACGGCGTCCCGGGAACCAATGCGCCCTCCAGTAGCGGAGGAAGTAGCGGAGCAAGTGGAAGCAGCAATTATCAGCAGCAGTCTTTATCCGTCGCTGGATCCCACTCCCATCATGGAGCACACCACCACGGCCACCACCATCACCTGTCTCAACCCCCGCTGCAGACTTCCGTCAGCGCCCACAACATCCGCGGCTGGGGCGAGGGTGGAAAAGGGGAGGCGGAGTGCAGCGGGCTGGCCTGTGAGTCATGCAGCGGTGCCCCATCGCGAAGCCAAGGCTCCCTGGACCTGGAGAGCACAAACCGAGAGGCAGGCAAGCAGCACCGACGCCTAGAGCGGATGTGGAGTGTGGACCGGGTGACTGGGCTGGAGAGAGGTGAGAGGGCGGAGGACACAGAGCAAGGGAGAGGCGCTGAATTCCAGACGAGGGTGGGAGGGGGGTAGGGTTTATTCATAAGACCCTGTGAATGGGATTGACGGGTTTAGTATTGGACCAGAGATGAAATAGCATTTGACTAATTTCAATCATTTTCCTAAATGCTTTTTTTTTTGCTGAAAATGAAGGGTCCATTTAAACTTGATTTCCCATCAGTCTAGTGTATGTGACGGTTTAATTATTTACATTTGTTTACAAGTAATAATTCTAGGCTTCAAGGAAGTTTAGGGACCACCTTAGTGAAAACAAGCACACTTAACATTTAAAGAGCATTTTGTAAGAATTAACTAAGCAACTTTACGATTAGTTTGTAATTTTAAGTTATTTTACTGTTTAATATCAGTCTAATGAAACAAAACAGCTTCGTCACAAGTCTGGATGAATTAAAGTGAAACATCCGTTAAAAGCGAGTTAAATCTATTTCTTCTCAGCTCTGGTGGGGACTGAGGGTTTGTTGTTGGATGTGACATGGTGGTCTGTATATCTGACTCTTCGTCTCCCCGTCTCTCTCCTCTGCTGTCTCCTTCTGTGTGTCTCCCTCTCTCCATTTGTGGAGTGGTGGACTGTGAAGTGCTGGTGCTGTCGCTGGTTTTGTGCTTCCATATTTCTAATATATTTATTACGACGTTTGCCAATATGACACATAGATTTTTCTCTTTTTTTCCACTTAACCCTAGAATGATCATTTTTCTCTCTAATTGCAGAGGACACTAACTGGTTCCCCAAGGAAAATATGTTCAGCTTTCAAACTGCCACAACAACCATGCAGGCGTGAGTGTCCAACCTTCAAGCACACATACATCTTACATCACCTGCATCATCTCAACTCACTTTATCAAACGTAGAATCTCCAGCATCTTCCAGCAATCTGTTTCTCCCCGACCATGCCTGTCTTTAAATTATTATTTTTTTTTAAATCTCCTTTTAAATGCATCCTTGTGCAATGCTTGTTAGACCATGTTCAGAATACAAAGGCAGACTCAGTCAATATATTCATGTGGCCCATTAAATACGTTCAGACCAGTTACAATTATGTGGCACTGCAAGTTTACAGTTTATTCATAGACGTCAATTATGACACACACTTTTTGTCTCCCTCTCATTATGCCTCTCCCAGTTTTTCCTCTGTCTCTGTTGTTTGGACTCATTGCTTACTGGTGCCTAAACTGTGTTGTTTTTGTCTCCCTCTTCTCGCATGCTATTTAATCATGGGACACTCAAACAGGATATCGTGAGTATACTTCCCTGCCTGTTTCCTATTTTTGTTCTTAGCTCGCTTACCTCTTGTTCGTAACAGCTGTTCCTTAACTTTGATGACAACCATTTAACATTCGTCCTTGGGCTGGGTGATCGAGTTTCAGCTGAAAACAAACTGACAAGTACAAGAAAGAGCTAGGGAGTGTACAGTAGAGAGGTTTGTGTCTATGTGTGTGTGTGTGTGTTTGTTGTCTGGGTTATTCTGGCCTTGCAAAAAAATTGTTTATCACGAAACATCAATAATCATCTGACAGTTATTGATTATCAGTTAAAAGCCTATAGTCAGCACAAATATATTGTATTTTAATTAAATAAAAAATAAAAAAGCCAAAAGTTACAGGATTGTCATGCAACAGCAGGGATAAAGTCCAGAGTAATCCACTGCAGCCGAGAAACCAAGCTCAAGTCAGGAAAATGTGCATTGGCTGACCAAAACCCTGTCAGCTCACATCCATCCAGCAGTTCTGTCAGTGTGGCCGACACAACCGCCCTTACTAAGGACACAGCGATAGGTGGTTTGGCCATTTAACATTTTTGTGGAAGTCATGTTAAAGTGCTCTAATCCAGATCGACAGCCGTCGCCAATTATCACTGAATCTGTGCTGGCTGACTTTCGGCGTTTTTGGAACCGATTGTGGCAATTGGCTCTGGAGAGATTTGTTAATAACAAGTATTTATAGTGCCAACATGTGATCCCCGGAGCCTTCTGGTAAAACTGTACTATCGGTAGTAGTTTAAAAAGAAGTCAGTTATCATTCAGTTTTGAGCTATGTATTATTCATGAAGTCTTAATAACCTTGGTAGATGTCCTGTGTGAAATTTGATAAGTGCAAAATCGCAAACATCTGTCAAATAATTCTTGAGTAGGCAAGCGGAGAAGTAGGGTAAATAAACGTCAACATTGATAACAGTAATAATGGATTATGACTAAACCAGGACAAGTCTTGACGTTTCATACTGCACAACCCCTGCTCCTACCACATCTCGCCAAACTAAACCCAACTAACCCAAGCTGCTCATATGTGTTTTCAAGTTCTTTGTATGTTGACCCAGCTTGACCTAGCTAACCTCTGGCTGCTAGTTTACAGTAAATGGTGATGGTTTCTTCTAAATCTCTTAATAATAAAATGATCAAGCTGGTGATAATCTATATTTTTCTTATTGTCAACAAATTCCATGAAAAGACCAAAACCAAGTAGTATCTGCGTAGCTGAAGCATTTGTTCCTCTGCACCGTAGACCTTCATTGTTTTCCAACAAGACTAAAGGCCTACAGATATATTAGCGCTCATATAAAGCCATTTCTTCCCCTGGCCTTGCTGGATATTTTTTATAATGGCGATCTTAATGCATGATGGGCTATACTTGAGTACAGCAGTGCTTCGAGTTTCATGTTAATGTCAGGGTGGCAGCATAATGACAATGGTAACATTCTGATCTTCAGCAGGGTTGATGTTTAGCTTATTCACTACCTCGGTTTCTCATTCGTTTCTGAGGTATTTGGTCAAGTATTGAACACATTGAAATTTTTACCTGGTCATGGCACTGGAGCAAAAAAGTCATTAGGCTTAATTTTGAATGCCTGTGCCAAAGTCAATGGCAATCCATCCAATAGTTGGCGAGGTATTTCAGTCTGGGCCAAAGTGGTGGAACGACCAACAGACCTAGCATGGCTAAACATGGTTAAAACACACATCAATGAGCCACAGCGTTTCTCTATTATGATGAACACAGGTAGCGTAGCTTATTTTGAACAAAGCCCACATATGACATCTTGGTGTCATTTGTATGACTGGGCTTGAGGCTGTGAGCCACAGACTGGTAGGGAAGTCAGAAAGTATTGAGCAACAGACTAATGCATTGTTAGTTTTGGCCTTTTTATGCGATTGGTTGACAGTAAGATTAATAGTGTCAGCTGTAACCTTTAAAAGAACATTTTCTTCTTTTAGGGATTTTACTACTTTCCACAACCTACCCAGAGTCAGTCAATCATGTTTAGCATGGTTGGAGATGCTCTATCTCTATCTCTGCTATGGACAAATGTCTGTAATCAGCTTCACAGAATTGCTGGGTCACATCTTTCCTCGTTAACAACAATAAGTAAGTCTCTTGAAGACATAATCACACATCGACAGTGAGGCATTTCACACCATGTTTGTACTTTGACACATAAAGTGTTGTCGCTTTCTGCTCGCCAGAAGGGTCTCAAAAGTCGAACAATGACTTAAATTAACGGCAGGCTCAACAATTTTGCAGTCAACCTCTTGCTTGTGAATTACAGCTTTAACATTCAAAATAAACCATAAAAATGAGCACCAGGTGGTGAGATGGAAGTATTAAGCCACAGCATTGGAACATGTGCACTATTTCAAGTGGCGCTGCTACTCTGGCCCAATGGCCTGCAGTGGCAAAATTACACTAAAATCTCAAAATTCCTTTAAACTGCACATAATAAACAATATTTTCTGGGAAAGTATCAAGAATCATAAAATTCCCCAAAAATAAATAAAAGAATTATATCTGGAGTGGAACTACTAAAAAGACACATAAGGTCACGAGATCAGCGTCTCTATCGTAAAATGGATTATACGACATGGAGACTGGCACATTTGTTACAGGGATGAATAGAAAATAAGATTTGAGCTGGTGATGTGATTTGACTTCCTGGTCTTTATACTCAAAGCTAGCTGCTGCCTATACCTACCTCAGCCTCCCCTTAACAGCCAAATAAACCCTGCAGCTAAAAGCCCTGGAATCAGCCCCCCCAGCACTGTCCTACCCTCAACCCCTTTAATACTGTGCCACGTCCCAGCAGGGCTTTTTGGGGATTTGAGCAGAGAAAAAGGAGAGTGAGGGAACAGGATTCGGCAGAAGTCATCCAGAGGTACGAAGCTGCACCTACCAGGATGTGCTTTGCTGTTTGCACTTGTTTCTGGCTATGCAGTAGCTCCGTTCTTGCTTTTTTACAGCCGCGTCTAATCTGACTAAGACAAAGAGTCCCCAACGTGGCATTTGAAGGTGAGGGCGTCAGCAGCTTTAAAACAGGATCTGCTTTCAGCATGACCTGCTACAGTGCCCCAATTTCTCGGCCGGATTTTTACCGCCACCCACATTGAATCGGATTTTAATTCTTAGACAGAACTGAAAAGATCAAAACGGGTACGGGTTTGAAAAAAACTCGGATGAATCTTTGTCGAGTTGCAAAATGTGACATTCATTCAGCAGTCTTCAGTATTCAAACCCCCAATACAAGTTGGTAGGTTACTGCAGCATTCTGCCACAAATATTTCTGTACTAACCTTACAAAACAGGGTGAATTTGTATTTCCCTAAAAAGAAAAAAAAATCATAAAAATACCGAGTCAGATTCTTTTGCAGGAGTAATGACATCAGTGACAAGTTCAGAAACTGTCCCACTCGAGGCCCAGATGCTTCGTCACACAGGGGCAGATGGTGAATGTGACACCATACATGCAGTACATCTCAGTTCCTTTGACATCTCAGTGTCATCCATCTGCAGTGTCAGCGCATTAATGTTGAGTGTTATTTCATCAAAATGAGTCATTTGAAAATGAGGGGAAAAAATAGCAGAACAAAGTTTTAGGAACAATTTGCCTCCTTGCACTTGCAAACCCACAGGAAAATGCATCCACCTGAAACCATCACTTGAAATGAAGATTACTTATCACACTAAGGCCATGTACACCCTTTGTTTATTTATTCTTGCCTTTATTATTCTCACTATTTGACCATCAAAACCAATTCAAACAGGAAAACCAGCTCAAAGAATAAAGAGAATCACCTACTCATGACTCTTGACACAGTAGGCATATGTGTTGCATTCTTGACTCGGTGGCACTTTGTTGTTCAGCCTTATTGTTCTGTAACTAACAACACTGTGAAAACAGAAGAAAGATTTTTTTTTTTTCAAGTTGTGGTGAATAGCTGCTGGCTGAGATTTGGGAGTATTTCTGTATTTTTGTATTTCAGTCTGGGTGGCAAACTTTATAATGCAATAAAAACACCAGAGTGGATCAAAAACCTTTGACACGTAACCAGTGTTTTTGAGTCTATCTGCACTAGTACATGTCCTAAGCTACAAAGCAGAGCAGACATGATGCCATTTCATACAGTAGCAGTTTGCAGGCAGTACAAATGTCAAATACCAGATCCTCATTCCAACATAGACAACAATTCTAACCATTGTTATGAACAGCGATGCACAAAGAAAGAGTAACAGAGCCCTTTCAGCATTGCTCTTCATCACCCCTCGCAATCTGAGTGCTTTTCACCATAGAAAAGGAGATTTTACCCGGTATACTCTTTGATGTGAGTTTTTTTTTCCTTTGCATCATGCATTACCATCTCTAAAACTGTTGACCTGGTTATTTAGACTTTACTCAAGTACAACTTTTTAAGCGCTTTTACTTTACCGAGTATTTGTCATACATTAGACCTGTTCTCCACCGCTGCAAATACTGTACTTTTGACTTCACTACCTTTAGTTGAGAGCTAAAGTTACTAGACGATGACAGAATGGAAAGAAAAAATGGCAGGATGGTTTATTTGTTTAGTATTCTGCTTCAGTTCAGGTCTCTTTGTCTGAATAACGGTGGCATATAATTTCTGCATGACACAATTTATAATGCAATAAAAAGAGATGGAAAAGAGTTGAACAAGAGAGAACGTATGACCTGTCTGGTTGTCTTTAGTTGGAAGTGGAGGTGACCGTGGTTCTCTCACATCTCCTCTCTTTCTGACTAAATCTCATAAACGGTGTCCACACCTCTCCTTTGTGGGCAGCTGAGGTTTAAGCAGAGGATATGGTGGGTAAGACTCTGTGTGTTAGTGTGTTTGAGATATTTTTCTCAAAGTACAAAGTAAGCAACAATGATGTTGCTTATCTGTAATTAGAGTTATATTTGACCATGTTTTTGCATGATGTAATGTGTGTGTTGCTTGTAAAATTCATTGTTTGATGTTACAAGTTAACTGTGGTTTTGCTGACATTTGTATGGGGGTAAACCAAGGACAAATAATCCACAGTCTCTTTCTTTTTCCTTTCATGTTGCTTCTATATTTATGTGCTTCTCCTCCACCACCAGATAAAGATGGACCCACAAATACATACGCGCACACACACACGCACATAAACCACATGCTGAGATCATTAATCATGAGTGTCGACTCGTGGCTTGGTATATATACAGAAACTGTGTGTAGATGCGACACGGGAGGGAGGCAGAACGATAAAAGGATGTTTATCTGGGACTCTTGCATAGAACATCATGTCATCAGGCAGAAAGTCACAGAGAAGATACAAACACACAAACCCTATTTCTTTGTTGTCATTAAACAAACTAAATGGATTTCCACAGGAACATTGTAATGCAAAGACTCTATATTAAATTACTTATAGACAACAAATGCATAGTGTCGTCAGAATGTTTTATTGTTGCTCGGAGACATGGGAACCTTGTAGACTATTGAAGGTGAATACAAGGAGCAAAACCTTTGCAAATTGAAAACAAAAGAGGAACGACCTCAACACGTTTGTAGCCCATCTAGTCAGCCATAACACAGCGTTGTATTTGATAGTTTGACATATTCTGTCGTTAGATATTGTGACACAACAGAAATGAGGGAACGGAGAAACCATGTTTCTAAACTATGGTTCAAAAGTAAATATAAATGAATAATGTTTTACTGTTTGGCAAATGGGTATGAACTTTATATTAATATATACACATAATATAGTATAGTACATAAAGGGTTATGATAACACAATACAAATGTATATCAAGCTGACATCACATTTGTGTACCTGTAACTCTGTTGTTATAGAGCAGTGATTCTCAACTGGTGGGTCGCGACCCAAAAGTGGGTCGCGGACCGGTTTTCAGTGGGTTGCAGGCCTTTGCCTGACAAAAAAAAAACAAATTTTGTGATTTTATTTTGAAGGGCATTTTTTATGCAGCGGAATTATTCCAGCATTTACGGCACTTGTTCAGCGGTGCAGGAAAAACACCGACCAATGCGTTGTGAATCACATCACGTGATGAAGCTCAGCCAATCAAATATGGTTATTCTGACAAGTTTCCTGACTTGAGTGAGATGTACACACACCGTGACACACGGAGGAGAGACGAGGACATATGAGCAGAGCAGGACTATTTATTGAGGTGTGAGTTGTGAAAGTCTAATCATAGGACGATCTCCAAAACAGAGAAATGGCCAGAGAGACCAGAGTCATTAGACTCTGAAGAATTCACCGATATGAGTCTGTCCAGTCAAACACTAATTTCTCTTTTTAGAAGATGAGAAAAATATAATATTATGGCTTTTTCACTTCACCCTGAACGAACTGAATTTAAATCTGTAGGGCAATTCAGTGAAAATAATTTTGCTAAAATGAATTTCATTACGTAATTTATTTTTTAATCCAGCCGTTATTTTACTTGAAATGAGAAGAACATTTATTCATGTATTTCTATTTATTATTTATAATCCATCCAGTTAAATTTGAAAAATGAGAATAATAATTGTTAAAATGTAATTGATGTGTACTTTCTTTATTTGATTTGACAGTTGTTTACTACACAGCGACGTTACTACTACTGGACTTCTTGAATATAGATATACCCAAATTTTATATACATATACACATATATATATATATATATATATATATACACATATATATATATATACACATATATATATACACACATATATACACATATATACACATATATACACACATATATACACATATATATACACATATATACACACACATATATACACATATATATATACACACACATATATATACACATATATATATACACACATATATATACACACATATATATATATATATATATACACACATATATATATATATATACACATATATACATATACACATATATATATATATATACACACACATACACATATATATATATACACATATACACACACACACACACTATATATATAATTTGGGTCGGGGGTCCCGGCTTGTCATAAGGGGTGATGGTGGGTCCCACAGCCAGACCAGTTGAGAACCACTGTTATAGAGCATCATTAGCCTCAGTGAGACACAGTCGTGTAGATTCTTTGAATAAGGAGGATAAGAAAAGCCTGCTTTGTTCATCCAGGATCTTTTAGACAAGGATGCTAAATTTGTTGTTTGATCCTGTAATGAGCTGCAGATGCAAATATAGCCTGACCGATAATTAGCCGGCCGTTATCTTTAAAGGTATACAGGAAAATCCACCGGCTGATTTATGTACTGTGCTCTCGAGCAACAACCCCATTATTGCTGCATTATTTCCGCCAACAGTGGAAGTACGTTTGTTGTGCGTTTTTGGTTGTTTACCGTCGGCAGTTGCACCCTCCGACAGATTAAGGAAGCCTATAGCTGAATGTTATAATGGTGTGACATTGGTTTTGACACAGGCTTTGGGGAAAATGAACAAAAGTGTGCCGTTTCTGTCTGACCTCCACATATTTATGTTATACATTGGAGGCATATGGTGCACCAAGCTTGCAAGAGTGTGGTGGCTCAATGTAGACAGGATTTAATGGAGATAATAAAGAGGAATCAGGGAAATGTATTGTATCGAGCAGAGGCTTGTGGATTTTGCATGATTGTTGGAGCAGCTGATGACAGCAGACAACAGAAAAGGTGTCTAAGTTAGAACCTGTTAAAACAAGTTTTTCTTAGATTTTAACCTTAAATTCATGGCATTTAATGGCATTCGATGACTCGATTTTTCTAACCTGTTGCACAATCTACAGGATCTTCTGGACGTATTTATTGCATATAGCGTCCGGTTTAACACACGTTTTATTTACAATTATTTGAGAACTAAATCAGAGCCTTATCAAAAATGTTTATGTTACGCATTTGTGCCAAAAAAAAAAAAAGGGATTGAACAAAAAAAGATATTGGTCGATATATTGTCATCGCTTTTCATCCTCAAAAATGTTACATTATAAATATGTTGACCAGCATTGGTCAGGCTCTCAAATATAAATAAAATCGATCAGGCAAGAACTTCTTGGCCAACTTCCACCTGTGTTAGACACAACAGATCGACACAGATCAACATCTTGGAACAAAGCAAAGAAACACACATGCACCAGTTTGGCGGAATAACCTCCCTCTGCTGCACGCTCATGCCTCAGATGTAGCTCTGCTCAGAGCACATGTTATCAAAACCTCAAAAAATACTAAAGAAGGGTTTCCCTTCTGGCTGTTGTTACATGAACGAACCTCCTGCACCTCAATAATCTACACTATAAAAGGATGAGAAGAGGTACATTGGCAATGTGGTACATTACACCCACACTGCTCCTGTGACAAGTATTTTCCACTCACATTGGAGGAAATAAGTATATGTACCTCTAATTATCCCTTTTAAAAAACGAAAGCTTTTAGTATAAACAGAAGCTTGACACTAAACTCTATTTGTCTTCTCTTGCTTTGTTACTTCCCGCCCACCCCTCCCCTCTTTCTTCCTTCTCTTCTTTACATTTTGGTTCTTCCTCTGTCCTCTGTCATCCCCTCTTCTGCTTTGATTTCTCTACCCACAGGAACTTCCGGAAGCATCTTCGGATGGTGGGCAGCAGGAGGATGAAAGCACAGAGTGAGTCAGAGATGTGTGTGTGGTTTATATGTTTGCTCAAACTGAGTGTGATGTAGTTCACTCCACCATCATATCTGTGTTCTTTTTTTATGCTCTCTGGTGTGTTTTTTGCATGTGTGTGTTGCACCAAACGCTGCTGTTTTATTGGGATTCTTAACGCTCTATTGCATTTCTTTGAGGATTATTATTTTCATCAGCGCGCGTCTGTGTTGATGAGCCAGCAATATGAGTCTGTGCATGTGTTAATGTACGAGTGTGTAGGTGGTCTATTCCTGTTGCATCGCTTTGATTGTTCTGAGTTTTTTTTGTTTGGTGTGTCGTAAAGTTTGAAGACAAAAGAGGAAATGAAATAAAGCAAAGGGACGATTGGTATAGATGGAGTGGTGTGTGTCTGTTTGAGTGTAACTGAGAATCTATGAGAAAAGAAAACCATAATCTATAGAGTCCTCCTTGTTCTGGTTCAGATATGAGTCAATGGCAATATGAGTGGGATTTTGTTATGCGACTGGTCTGTAACTTGTCCAGTATTTTTGACCTTAAATGAAAAGAGAAAACGGTGACAGACAATGTAAGCTAAACAATAATCTCAAGAAAAACGTCGGTTACAATTTTGTAACGTGTCAAATTTAGAAGTTGTGTGACCAGAAGCTTGGAAAGGTGATGATTGTTATAACTATACAGTATGTACAAACCATGGTAACATATGTCAACGCCTTGTGAACAAGTTGTTTCTATTCCAGTACTGTAAAGTTATAATGGAAATATAAACGGCAATCATGTCAACTGTGAAAAATCCTTATTTTGTGATTTGAATAAAAATGTTTTGGCAGACAAGACTGAACCCAATTAAAACTCAAATATGTCACCGATCATTGCAACTGAATAGATATTGTAGCAGATTTTTGCTCGACATTTACTAAAACCCCAAATCTTCTTGATCCACCTCTCACGCCCCGACTGCTGTGAGGAAGAACTATTTCTCGGAAGGAGCCAATTTCTCCTTTAGATGATTTCTTCTCACACCTCTGCATAGCTTTGGGTGAGGGGACCCGATAACAAAAATAAAACTAAAAATCTAAACTCGAGTCAAAATCACAGAGTATAAAATATTGGGATCACGAAATAGGACAAAATGTTTGGTTTCATTACAAGGTATTTTAATGAATTGCAAACCTGTCCTTTTGATCACGAGAGTAAAAATGAATGATTCGGCTCATAAAAGGGCGTTTGTACTTGAAAGGAACAAGTTGGTGTCAGCAGCAAAATGAAAAGAGAAGCAGAAAAAAGCGATGGCGCCTTGAGGGTCGCTGTTGATTAACCATGTCAAATACTTTCAAGTCGTCTAAAAATGTTCTAAGTGAACAGTGATTACTCTTCAAAGCAGAACTGATTTTATCGAGGCTCAGTAAATCTGTGTAACAAGCGCAGTCCTTTTGAATCCATAGATACCGACGATAAGCAGCAGGATCCGTTATAATGATCAAGTATATGATTGTTAGCATATGTGTTTGTTTGTTTGACAGTTTGCACATACAGGCATTTGTTTGTGCAGAGGAGGGATGGCATCGTATGCACACTATTTGTGAACTGCTTTCGCCTTTTCACTTTGGTGTTTTTGGTGGCGAGTGTGTCGAGGAAACAGCCAGTTTGCAGGCTTGTTAGTGTGTGTGTGTGTGTGTGTGTGTGTGTGGTGTGTGTGACTATCTCTCCCCGCCTGCACTAGCATTCGCTGAGCGTAGATCGAAGAGTTTCAACCGCTCCTGGAGTGACCCCACCCCGGTCAAGCCCGACTCTCCTCATGAACCCAGAGACAGTGAGTTAACACAGACTCACGCACGTACATCTGCACACACACACACACACACACACACACACACACACACACAGACGCTGACACACACACACACACACAGTTTCTAACAGTTAAGGACACAAATGATTCAATTAAAGACGTATGGAAAGAGGCTTTAACGTTGAAGTAACCAAATCACATTTACAAAGTGTGTAAAATTCATGTGTAATGTAAATTGTGCTCGGTAAGTTGTCAGTTTGTATTCCTAAAATGCCCTGAGAGAAGAAAAAGTTAAAAACTGACCTGGACATAAGTCATCACCATAACTGCCAGATACAAACATGTCTTTTAAAAGCTGCTAAGTGCTCTCTTGTTGTCTAGTATTTAGAACCTAAAAGAGCTGCAGTAAATCTTACGAACAGTCTTCTACGTGTGCCGTTATAATAAACCCATCTGAACCCGTGAGCCCTTACATCTCGACTGGCAGATTGATTACAGTTTAAATTTGCTTTGCGCTCAGTCAGTACTTTTGTCATTAATTCATTTCCATACACAGGTGGCTCGTATTGAGTTGAAAGCCACTTAGCGGCATTTGTCAGCTATTAAAAAAAAAAAAAGAGGTCCGGTAATCAGCACCTTGATATACGAGCTGAGTTACAGTACAGCTGGAATGAGGCCGGATCACCCGTCTCAAATGATGCAAAGTGCAGCACACAATATACTGACAACCGCAGCTAAGTACTTTGTACAAGTAAGTAAAAGTTTGAGATATTTGTACTTTATTTAAGAAATTTAACAACAACGTGAACAATGTATCAATAGGAAATATTGTACTCCACTACATGTATCTAATGGTTGCTGTTATTAGTTACTTCAGTTTTTTTCATTTCTTTCATTTCCTCAGCTGATATGACATCCGGAAAATCTAGAATTCTTTTGTTATTATGATATTGCTAATTTAACATCTTAAAAAAAAAAATACGAGATTGCCTATTACCGTCCCTCACCATCTTAACTATCTCTGCTCAGGAAGACTTTACTCCACTATGTCTTTACACAGACAATAGTTGTTTGCTGGTATATTAATGCCACCTGGAAGGCAACCTAATATGACTAACAAGTACTTGAAAGTTAAAGCCACTTTTCATCTAGTGCGTACAAATAGACACATGCCAAATAGGACTTGTAATATGACAGTATACTGTCCTGTATGCACTGTAGACCTCCGTGTTGAAGTAAGGTGACATTTTGTCATCACGGTTTTACAGCTCAGTTCCTGCTTTCAGCAGATTAAGTAACACGCAAAAAAATCGAAAGACATTTGCACTTAAAACACACCATCACACGTACAGACTGACTGTCTCTGCTGTTGGCTCTGACCCTGTCCATCTGTCTCCCTATGACCGTGGGTCTTTCTTCAACTTTGTGATGCTCTCTTTCTGTGAGTATGTCTTCCAAAATGGAGTGTGCGTCTAAGTCCGAGTGTGTCAACTGGTATAACTGTTAATGCGAGGTGTGTCTCAGTGTTTCTAAAAGGCTTTTGATCACGAGTTTCAACACACACTGTTTGCACGTGCCGTTTGTCTATGTTGATGTCTTGAGTATCTGTGGTTTTATGTTTTTTTTCTCCACCTCCATCTTCAGCGTTTCTGTGTTTCAGAGTGTGATGAAAGATACATGAACTGTTGATGACAGTCTAATGGTGTGGTTGATGCCTCATTCTTCCTCTTTCCTGAGGGAAAGGTATTGTTCTCTGGAGGCGCGACATTAATCGTCAGTCTTGCTCGTCATTTCCTCCTTTTTCACACTCTCTTTCTTCACTCTCTTTTCAAACTGCTGTTTCACACTGGGCACCTATAGTTCTTCTTTACAAGATGGTTTACAGAATATATTGTCGACTACAACTTCACTGATACTGGATTTTCAGGCCAGTACCAACATAGATATTTGGATTGAAAAAAAAAAACAACGATATCCTCTCATAACATATCGGTCGATAATTATTTTAAATTTGCTGTGGGAAATGGTAAAAATATGAATAAATATAGATAGATTAATAATACACTCGAGGACTCCAACACGTAGGTAGCAAACATAATTGAGTACACACAAAGAGGTATAGCAATTATCAGCAACATAACAATTTTCTATGAAAGCACCGACCCTAGAAAGGATTAAAACGGTTCACAAAAACATACAAGTATGTGAAAAGTCACATCACCGAGCCGTAGACTAAAGAAATACTGACAGCTCATAGCTAACAACCGCAATCTTTATAGACAGATATTTGTATATGAATGCAGAATCTGATCTGGGATAAAATTTTGGTATCTGAAGCGTTCTGGTGTCTGATTGTAGCCCGAGTAGTATTGACCAATCGTGTTTGAGCGAGCTTTGGTTGAATGCAGGTAAACAGTCGGTGTGGAGAGCATAAGAGTAGGAACACAGTGGCCAAAATGAAATCTCCCAAACCAAACACCAGAGTCCAGAGAAAATCGGGTCGTGTTTAAGACCATTATAGGCAACGGTGCCTTTCAAATGCTATAGCAATCAAGGACAGAAATAATCTATCTATGAACAATATTGATCTATCTTCTAACACCAAATGAGCAATGCATAGAACTTAGGTTTGAGGATCATTACAGGTTCCTACAGGTACGTCAAGGAAGGGGGCAGAGGGGTGTTTGTTTTTTTCATGCATCATGAAAAGAATCAGGCAACGTTGTGACAATAGCCAAGCCCAAGACAAAGACAATTCAGAGCCCCACAAGGCACGAGACCAAGACATGCGCAAGACTTGACAAAAGTCTTCTCAAGACCGGACTCGAGACGGGACTCAAGTACTACAGCCCTGATCCTTCTAGAACATGTTGAAATATATAAATATGATGTGTAATATAAATTATGATTGCACGTCAAAGAAGCACGATTTTGATGGTATACAACACTTTACTTTCTTAGAATAGCTGCCATCTGATCCCCGTTTGATTTTCTTATCTCCTTGTTAGCTGTCGCCAGAAATTGTGCTGCCACATTCACTATCAGTCACTGATTTTTCTCCTTCTGCCAGCTGTCTCTTATTTTCCCTGTTCCATCTGTCACATTTCTTATGTCACCACCGTTATTAACAACTCCATCCTTTCTCCTCTCCTCCACACTCGTCTCTCTCCTCTCTCCTGGACACCTCCTTCCTTCACTCCTAGACTCTCTCTTTCTGTGTCACCTTTCCTGCTTCCCACGAAACACTTCTGTCTACAAGGGGATTTTTTCCTCACCGGTGTAATATATTTTCTTTTAGGTGGAGACCTGCAAGCCTCCTGTGGTACCTTGGATGAAGGGGGCCTCGATGACAATATAGACTGGGAGGAGGAGCGAGAGATGGAGAAGCTGGCCTGTGAAGGAGACGACTTTGTACCTCCCAAAATCATGGTACGAGAGCGGTATTGCACGTCAAATTTAATATTACACTTAAAGTTGGCAGGTTTACAAGGGAAATAATTTTTTAAATGATCAAAATCAAAGTAGCTGAGGCCATAATATCATGACTTTTAGTCTCAAAACACTGTATCCTACATTTATACACTGATAAACGGGGCACAATAAAAATGGTTGCTTTAGGAAATTGTTACTTTAGAATTACACACTGATGGCAGATCTAGGTTAAAATAGCTTAATCTGTGGAAGGTGAATTTATATGCAGATACAGGATCTTAAATGCCCCTAATGTATTCTCTACCGTCTCGCTGTGAATATTATATAGAGCTGTACATTCCCTGCAGGCATGAGAGTGTGATAGAGTTTTACCCTTTCCTCTAATTTCTCTCCAACTCTGCTGTTCTCCTGTTCTCTCCACGTTGCTCCCATTTCTCCCACTCTTTCATTTCCTCAACCTCACATCCCATTAAATCCAACATTCCTCTCCTTCTACTGTTTCTCCTTCAGCTGATCTCTTCTAAGGTCCCAAAGGCAGAGTACGTTCCCACTATAATTCGCAGGGATGACCCCTCCATCATCCCCATCCTCTACGTGAGTCGGAACATTGATTGACATGTGTGCATAACGATCCTTCCGACACACAAAGCATACAAGTTGTTTCTTTAAAAGGATGTTCTCTGATGAAGGCCGATTGAAATGTAAATCAAAGTATTTTGCAATCTCAAATGATTATGTTTTACGTGAACGTCTTTTTCCTTAGGATCATGAACATGCAACTTTTGATGATATTTTGGGTGAGTAAATATTGTTATTACACCCGTTTTGTAATTATATAATCAATGATTCCAATAAATGAGTAGAGTGAATTAAAATGATGACTATAAGAACAGATGATAGAAATGATTTTAAGGCAAGAGGTAAATGTAACAGTGTCCAACTAATGAAGATAAAATAAAGATAAAAAAATAGTTGAAGTAGAGAGACCTAATTAATATTTTAAAAAATAGAGCCACAGATACATTCATATACAGATTTATATAGTCGTGAGCGTGGACTATTCAGCAGTTTGCCTGAGGACTCTGAACTCTGACTCATACCGGGGGAGTTAAGGGTCCAAAAAATAGATGCAGGCTGAACCTTACCTGCAAGTGAATCTCTTAAAAAAATAGCTTGGATCTGGCGTGATTACGCATTTCATATAAAACCAGTTACAATGCTGCAAAATTACTAAAATGGGTTTTTTTTTTAATTGAAAATGATTATATGTTGCTCAAAGGAGAAGCACTTCCAGTAAGCAGTCCCTGACGCTGCATTGAATAAAGCTCACGCAGAGTTAGTGAGAGGATGCCAATGAATAATTCATAGATTTTATGTTTCCATGTTACTGTCTTTCATTGACCTGTTTTATTTTGCTGTGACATTTCCTTAAGTACACACTGTTGAATTTAATTCAAACTACATCTTACACTAGAGTCTCTCTAGATTACACCTGTACTTGAACTCAACCTCCAGAGTATTTCTCTGTGTTCACTGTTCACATCTCTCCCTCTCTCACTACATCCGGTCCCTGTAGTTCACATCAATCACATCAATCCAACCCTTTGTCTGTCCCCCACAGAGGAAATAGAGAAGAAGCTCACAGCTTACAGGAGAGGAAGCAAGTTCTGGAGGATGCTCATCTTTTGTCAGGTGAGGAACAAGGAGACAGAATAAAAGTGTATTTCCTATAAAATTGTACATTTTATTTGGGATATATGGGGTTATGTGTACAATCATGCAGTGTTAAGTACCTTCCTTTGAGATCTAATCTCTCTCTCAAGATATTAATTAAGAAGAGGTAAATTAGTAGTTGTGATTGTGGTAATGTGTTTCACTCTTGTATGCGTTTCTTAGGGAGGCCCCGGTCACTTGTATTTCCTGAAGAATAAAGTGGCAACTTTTGCTAAGGTGGAAAAGGAGGAGGACATGAGCCAGTAAGTATGTCTCCCATGGGCGAGTATCATGACAATTCACATGCCCAAGTCTTATAAAGCATCGACATGCGATGATGCTCTACGAGTCAGGACAGAAATGACTGAGAACCATTAGCTAGCTGTGAAAAGAGAAGTATTTCATCATTAAGATACCGTAGCTGCTCCCCTTTGAGGTATTTATGCCACTCAGAATAGAAAGGAGGGCTCAGTCAATAAAAAAATCCTCGACCAAAGGAAACTGGCTCATTCCAAAGAAATCTTAATTTCATTTTAGGCATTCAAAGGATTAAAAGATTCTGAAACAAATATGTCATGTAAATGCTCTTTATGCTATTTTCACAATATGAATACTATTTCTGTGAGTGCTCTCCGACTTGATTATATCAAAGATGTTCCACTTGGACGATTCAACACTCGGTTTGTCATATATGAGCACGATCTACTATTTTTCGGAGTGATGCATCTCTCCCAGGGGGGAGTATCTCTTGTTTCAGAGATATAAAACATACGGCTCACAGCCTGTTCCATCAGTATATTATAAGAAACAGTTGCTTCAGTGTGAAAGAACAGCAGTAGTGACAAGTACTTTACTCAGTACTGAGTTTTGTGTTACATTTTGTGTTTTTGAAATTTCATGGGAACCGTCAATCAGATTGATTACATTCAGTGTAACTGTCTTTGTGTTTGTTCAGGTTCTGGAGGAGGCTTAGTCGCTTCATGAGTAAAGTCAACCCTGAACCCAACCTTATCCACATAATGGGATGCTATGTCCTGGGCAACCCCAACGGAGTGAAGGTACACAGACGCCGATGCAAAAAGACACGCGAACAACTGAAAACACAAAAGCTCATCAACACCACTAAAGTTTCAAGCACTAGCACTCGTGTACACCTCTTAAAAAATGTAACTACAGTACATGGCAGGTCTACAAAGATACTGTGCATAGAGACCGCAAGAACCGCGATTGCCTGATTAGCTTGAGCTGCTTGTGTTTTCTCCCAGAATGTTGAAGAAAGGCCCACTAATGTTCTCCATTTAACATTCAAGTAAGCAAAGCCAGTTCCACTGCAAACGTCTCTTTTATCACAGTGCATGAATGTACTGTAAACATACTTACTTTGGCCATAAATGATTGCATGACTGTAATCACACATTTGGTAGCGAGACAAACCTTCCCTTAGTCGCTCTTTATCCCAAATTGAACACAAGTACTGTGCAGTATACAGGCAGATAATGTACAATAGATGCAGAGCAGTAAAATCTAATGCAAAACTATGAATCAATTCCTACGCTGGTGGGACCATCGCAAACCGTCACGCAAGAGTAGGACTCCAATTCAATCATAATAAGGTCTCTGTTAAGTTGCAATGTTCAAAACGTAAATTGATGTGCCACACAAACTGATTTAATAACGTAGAACCCCAAAGGTATAGTCTTTTTGTTCCCCGTCTCTTATCATTTAGGTAAACACTCTCTCGTGCTTGCTCCTGCCTCTCTTTGTCCTCCCGGCTCATTTCCCTGTTTGCAGATTTATTCTAACGGTGTCTGATATTCACCATATTAACCTCCTGGTTGTCTCAGTTTGTCCCCGTCTCTCCTCTCTTAATCCACATGTGTGACTATCATCTCACTCTGTGCGATGTTATAGCTGAAGCGCACACATGCTGAGTGATGCTGCACCTCTCTCTACCTGACAAGAACATTTAATAAGACTCATAACCACACACATGAAAATAAAGAAATAAAAAACACAGACAAGCTGGCAGACACACTCACATGTACACACACACACACACACACACACACACACACACACAGATGCACACACAGATGCACAACATAGCCAGTGGTGTTTGTCTGACCTAACTGTTCCAGTCATGTCTGCCAAAATGCTTTGTTATATAAAGTGGATCTCTCTAGGGTTGATGGACAGTGTGGCAGTCTGCAGCACAGGCTGCACATCAGTGATATATCTCCACCCCCCTACAGACAATTACAGACACAAGCAGTTGTCTCAACAAAGCTTGAATTCAAAACAACAAAATTGGCATTTTTCTTTTTGCAAGATCCCAAAGTGATATTGTCACACTGGTGGCTTGTCTACTGTAGTCTTAACTTCAGTCAGAAAACGGAATGAGTGAGATTTAGCTTGAACCTCTCCAGAAGAATGTGTAAACTATAAATCACTTTGTTGTGACATTGTTCTGCTTTTCATCAAACCCATTCTCCACTGGAAACAGCACAACATGGCCAAAAGTATGTGGGCACTTACTTGTGGAACATCACACACAGGATATGATATGCTGCTAGAACAACCTTCATGTCTTTCCACAACATTTTGGAACCTGGCTGCAGGGACTGGCAGATGTTTAGCCACAGGAGCACTAGTGTGGTCGGCTACTGATGTTGGAAAAGTTTGATGGAGCTGAGGCCATGACTCTCTGCAGGCCAGTATGTTCTCCCACACCAAACCGGACCTCACGTTGTGCACGGTGGCATTGTCATGTGGAAACGGGGAAGGGCCTGGACGCTATGGTCTAAAATGTCTTTGTATGCTGTAGCAATAAGAGTTTCCTTAAATTGGAACTCAGGCCGTGTTCAGACAGACAACAGCAACAAGCAAATTGCTCCAACGCAATGCAACATCATTCAGCAAGGTGCTGCAGTCAAATCAAATCTAGTGCTTGGCTCACATGGTTGATGACTTTGTAACTTCATAGTGTTGCGACGAGAGAACGTGATTTCTGCCATGATAACTTTCCAGAGTTATAAAACCCTGTCTCATGGTATTTAAAAAACGCCGTTGGGTGTTTTGGCGCCGGATAACCCTTCAACTACTACTACTACCTATTTCATGGTACCGACTGGTACCTGAAACAACATGACCCCGTCAGCACTAAAGGGCCTAGCCCAAACCACTTTCTTAACAATCACATAACCACCCAGAGACAGTGCATCATCACAAGAACACATCACACTCAGCCGGCCTCTGTTGGCACAAAGTTTAAATGGGTACCAGCTCAATCAATTTTTAAAACAGTAGGTTTCATTGTTTTCAAATGCTACACTCCAGACAGCGCAACACTAAATATTGCAAACACATGACAGTAATGGAATGGACCTAAATTAATAACAGCCAGGAAGTTATTGCAAATACCAAAGCACATGTTGTGCAAAAGCCTCCTGGAGAGTTGAAAGCAAGCCACACATGTAAAGTGTCTC